TTCTCCCGCTCCAGCAGCACCTGAGGCTCCAGTTCAGATACCCAGCTTCAGAGAGCGGCTTCAGACTCTGGAGGATGGCATGGTTTCCATTCGGGCTGATATTGCTTCACTCCGCTTAGACATCATAGCCGCATTGCAATATCTATCCAGAGACATCCATGGAGCACGCCCTGCCTGTCCTTCCTCCTCCACTTGATATTTTTATATCTTCTTCTCCTGTTATATATCTGTGATATCTGCCATATTTTTGCTACTGTTATATACTTGCGGCCAGTCTGTTGGCCTAGACACTGGATGTACTGTACTATACTTTATTTCTCTTTTATGCATACTTTATTTTTGGATGTCATATGTACGTATTGATATATCTGTTTGTGATTAACTCTATCAGGTGCATCCCAGTGACTTCAGTGAGAGGGTGTTGGCCGAATTTTCAGGACCACCCTTTTTCCACTCTCCTTACTTCAATTTCTTATCCTATTTACACTTGCATGTCCACTGCGTACTATTATTATCCCCTTTGTTGTCTAATGAACTTTTATCCAGTGTCATCTTTTCAGGACCACAGTTAATCCCAAGTTTGGGGGGGCTATGCTACCTACTTTGGATACTTATGTCCCGGCCATTCTTTGCTTAGTTGCACTGGTATACTCTTTCCTTTGTTCTCTTTGCACATTGAGGACATTGTGCCATTTAAGTTTGGGGGGGTAATGGTGCTAATTGCAGTATTTGCTTTCAATTCAAAATTTTGAGCATGACTTGTGTATTTGAGGAGTAAATTTTTTGAAAGATTGATATCATGCTTACACTTGTGGTCCACATTATCCTGATTTTGTGATTGTTTTGAGATTCACTCTAGTATTATACACTAGCACAGGCGCACACTAGCATTCATTTGTGAGGTACATGCTTTGTTGATTATTGAATTGGTTATATCCCAATTGAGCTCGTAGTGCATTGAAAGCTTTCATTCTTGATAAAGGTGGATAACAAACCCTTTTCATTGAGTAACCGGGATTCTAGCCTCATCAAGTACTGAATTTCTCGCGCCGAAAGGTGGAGGGCCCAAATTCTAGGTTAATAATTGTACTTAAAAAAAAATAAAAAAGTGCAAAAGTAATAAAAAAGTGAGGACTTCTCCCAAAAGGTGAGAAGTGGGAAATGATTATATGGAGGTTGACTTGATTTGTAGCCTAGTTGATTTGAGCTTGTAAGTCCATAGGAGTGTTTGAATGCCTAATGCCCTAAAGCCGTCCGGTTTGGGAGTCACTGACCTAACGCTCGACTTCATGAATCGTTAGAAAGCTTAATAGATCAACACATTGCACTATGCTTCCATCTTTGATCTTTAGGGATAGAAAAAAAAAAAAATTCGAGTAAAAAGAATAAGCGCACTTAGAACAATAAAGCTTTAACAAATGCTCCACTCTTTGTGTTGATGATCGGTACTAGATTTGTGTGCTAGTTCGAGGGTAAATATGTGATCATTTCTTTAGTTGGCTAAGATAGCAACATATTTCATGCCAGTCCACTCAAAAGGAATATAGTATTGTTTTGATTTGCATGATCATTTTCTTAATATGAGGAGGACCATACTTGCTTGCTTGATGTTGAAATTTTGGGAGATTGCTCGGAAAGGGTAGAAAAATTGCATATTTGAGGTAGTTTTCTCCCTTTGCAATATTTGTGCCTCTTTTAAAAGAATGAGCTTAATGTTTGTGGGTATCATTTCTGGAAACCTTCACGAGACTTCACTCGTCCATTAGGGGTAACCTAGGGGTTTAAAAGGCTTGTTGTATATACTAAATGTAATCGTGTTCCCTACGAAAGTGGCGTTATCCATTTATTAATTTTTAGTTCATAGTTGTATAGTTGTTCATTTCATTCCTTTACTTTGTAATTCATTACTAGGGACTAGCAATATTTAAGTTTGGGGGTGTGATGAGCGCTGAAAAGTGCCCATTTAAACCCCTTAAGCTTAGATATTCTAGAACCTTTATCTATCTTATTTTCCCGCTTTAGACTAATTTTGTATTATTTCCATTTTCAGGTACTTATCCCCAAAATAAGCTAACTCAGCTAAATAAGAGCATAATTGAAGCAATCTTGAGAAGAATCAAAGAAATGAGCAAAGTGGGAGCAAAAGGAAGCAAGTGGTGGAAATTCAGCAAGTTCGATCGATCTCAGGAAATATTCGATCGATCGAAAGTTCATCGATCTAGACATTTCAAGATGGATCCAAGCTCTTTTGTCCTTATCCATAGATCCCACAAAGTTCAATCGATCCAACTTTCTTCTGATCGATCGAAAATATTCCATCTTATCCAGTTGTACCACCACACCTACCACTTTAGTCTCATTCCCCAAAATATCTCAGATTTGTCTATATCCAAAAAGGCACCGCCATAGAGGATCGATCCAGCTTAAATTCGATAGATCTCAGCCATGTTCGATCGATCGATTGATCGAACTTCCCCAAGTGCAAGAAAATTCAATTTCCACCTCATTAAAAGTTGTCTCATACCCAATCATTGGAAGGAATATTGGTGTACTAGCCAGGTCATTGGGGGTGACATTTTAACCTACCTATATAAGGAATATGAGCCAATAGAGACATACATACACTAGAGACACAATTTCCATATCATATTCTTAGTGAGGAAGAAAAGAAGAGAGGAGGCTAGAGACACAAGCTTGGAATTCTTCCATCAACCAAGAAGAGGAGCAATCTCTACCATGGAGTTAGCCCTTGAGGGTTGGAAGACACCATCCATGAGTGGCTAGACATCCTCTTGGGGCTAGAGTTAGCCCTAAGCACGCTTTCTACATCTTGATTTATGTATCTTTGAGGGGATTTGTATTGTGATACATGTTTTGACATATTTATATACATAGATCTTATTTATTCAATGATTTGTGTGGTTTAATGCTTTCAATTGATCATTTCATTCTATCCATATGTCTATGTATGCTAGAATAGATGTTTATGTGTTTGTCTTTAGATTTTGTGTTATTGATGCATGTCTATGTGTATTGATGCTATAGATCAAGAGATTGTCAAGATATAGTGCTTAATAGAATGCTCTTGTGGTTTATTTTATGGTTCATACTCATTTCTTGATGGATTGTGACTATCCCTTAGTTTAATTTCATGTCATTAGCTTAATTGTAGTGTAGTTGTAGTTTAGATGTTAAATGGGAGGACAATCCGTGCTTGTTGTTTGATGTTCTATACTTATGAAAACAAGTAGCATATGTCTCTAACCTTGTGATGTGTTTGGATTGTGAGCTAAAAGAAAGGATTAATGGCTTAGTTTGATATATTATGCTATCCACTATGTTGCTTAGACAATATATACTTAATTAGTCATCCATGCTTATTGAAACAACCACACACACACATTATTGTTGCAATACATGTTTTCCCCCTTATTAATCATTCATTAAGGGTGTAGAAAAGCTATGCTTAGTGGTGATCTCTAAATCCCAAGATCTCTCTCTCTTATTTTCTCTCTATTACATTTTTTTATTTACTTTAGTTTAAATTGCATCTTAGTATAATTCAATCACCAACCAATCTTTTGATCACTCGACCTACTAACCCTAATCTTGATTCCACAACCTAATACGACCCACCAATCCCTTGGGACGATCCCTACTCACCCTAACTATATTTTTAGTGAAAGGTAGTAATGGCAAATTATGAATGTAAAACTTGGCCACACTCATCTTAGTCCAACATCTCCCTTTTGCAAACTTTTGGTCCTGGCACACCAAGTTTTTGGCGCCGTTGCCGGGGATTGATTAAAGGCAACGTCGTATTTGTGGAATCAATTTGGAATTAGTACTCTTTTGATCGTGTCTTTACTTGATTTTCATTTTCATTTTGGTTACTTATTGTGCTAGTTCTTCTTTGACTAGGTGCATTGAGCTAGAAGGTGAGCAAAGGAGCATTTTAAGCAAGGAGCTAAGTAAAAGCAAGGAAAAAGCTAAAATCTAAAAAGTTTGCAAGGCTAAGATTGAAAATTGAATTAAAGTGCTAAAGGACCCTTTGTGAGCTCTTTCTTAACTCAATCTCTAGTTAAATCGTTGGCCCGCGTGGTGGCTTGTATTTCAATTCTTAAATAAATCGTTAGCCTACGTGGAGGCAATTTATTATTCTTTGCATATTGTTGATAGCATGGGAGTATGGGATTATTGTATGTCGAGGAATTTTGTTGTTAATTGATTTGTTGCGAAGGTGAAGTGATTATTCATTGTTTGTTGCTTGTTGTGTTTTGTTGTGCATGTATAGTTATAGATCATTGAAACCTACTCTTGTCTCTCTTAATTTTCATCTTGAATCCGTTGTTCGAAACCCTAGGGGAAGAAGAAGTTCTAGTCAATCCATTTCATCAATGGAAGTACATAATGAGGAGCATATGGAGGACCTTGGTCACATAGACCAACAAGGTATCCTCCACCCCAATGTGCATCATGATAACATGCAAGTACCATTAGGCATGTCAAGGCCATTCATTCACCCACCACAACAACAAGGCCAAATTCCATTGGGAATACCAAGGCTAATCTATACTCCACAACCTCCCATCATCCAAGGCAATCAAGGTGCCCATGTCGCACCTCCAATTGCTAATCATCCCCTTGCTTTAAGATATCACTATGTGTCTAATGAATACAATGCACCCACATGCATTCATTTGCCACCATTTAGAGCACACCACTATGAGATCAAACCACAAACCATTCAAATGCTTCCTAACTATCATGGACTTCCAAGTGAAGAACTTTACAAGCATTTGCATGAGTTTCTTGAAGTATGTTCCACCGTGAGATACACGAACATGCCAGAAGAGATCTTAAGGCTTAAACTTTTTCCATTCACCCTTAAAGACAAGGCAAAATATTGGTTTAACAATCTTAGGCCTTTTTCAATAACTTCTTGGGCAAAAATGCAACAAAAGTTCTTGAAGAAGTACTATCCGGTTTCTAAGACCAATGTCATAAGAACCTCAATTCGAGAGTTTTCACACGAGGATGGGGAAACATTACATGAGGCATGGGAAAGATTCAATGAATTACTTAGGAAGTGTCCACATCATAACATGCCCAAATGGCAATTAGTTCAATATTTCTTTAAGAGCTTATCCGACAATTATAAGGAAATGGTTGATGCTTTCATGGGTGGCTCTTACATTGATAGGCATGAGGATGACGTGTGGCGTCTTTATGAGAGTATGAGTGAAAATTCTTTGCATTGAAATTTATCTTCTAAGAATGGTAGGAATTCAAATGGAAGGAAGAGTGTTGGCTTACATCAAGTTGACCATTCCAATGAAAGCCCCACCGAGATGAAATCCTTATCTCAGAGGCTTGATCAATTCTTGATCAACCAAAACCCGACAAATCAAGTATCTTCCATTGCCAACCATTCCCATCATGCATCCAATGAATCATGTATGACTTGTTCAAGTGTTTTACATTATACTTCCAATTGTCCCCATGGACATGTGCAAAGTGAGCATCATGAACAAGTCAATGCAGCTTTTGTTAATCAAGGGAACAATCCTTATGGCAATCACTATAATTCTAGTTGGAGGAATCACCCGAATTTCTCTTGGAGAAACCAAGGGGAAGGCTCAAACCCTTCCCAAGGTGGTTTTCAAGGGAAGTATGTTCCCCCTCCGATGCAAAGCCAAGGTTCCCAAGGTTTCAGATCATCATTTCAATCGCAAGGAAATCAAATTTCTAATTCTCATTTTCCTAATCAACCATCATTTTCTCAAGGAAATTCTAGGAGTCTCGCTTTTGAAGAGAAAGTTTTGACCGCTCTAGGCACTCTAGAGGCGAACACTCAATTGTTTCATTCTCATTCTCAATCCATTGCTAAGCTAGAAACCCAAGTAGGGCAAATAGCTAGTACTTTAAATGCTAGAGAGAAAGGGAAAATGCCTTTGAATGCCCCACCAAAGCAACAATGTATTGTGGAGACTCATTCCTCATCAGAAAGTTCTATAATAGAGCATGTCAATGTGATGACAACCTTGAGAGGTGGGAGAATCATTGACAACCAAGTAGGTGTGTCCAATGAAGAGAGTGAACCGGTGCAACCACAAGTTGACACCTGTCCCGTTCCACATTTTATTCCTCCTTCATTGCATGTGCATGATCTTCAAATGAGAATGTGTTGAAAAGTGATTTGAAAAGTGATTTTGAAAAGAAAAATTTGCAAAATGATTTTAAAACTTCTTGTGTTGAATAGACTTCAAAGAAAATTTCTGAAAATTTTTTTGAGCCGAGAGCTCCATTTCCAGATGCCTTAAAAGGATCTATTTCAATTGATAAGCAAAAGGCCAAAACAAATGAAATTATGGATGTGTTTAGGCAAGTGAAAGTCAATCTTCCACTTTTGGATGCAATAAAGCAAGTTCTAGCTTATGCCAAGTTTTTAAAAGACTTATGCACCCAAAAGAGGAAGAACAAAAGCCAAACACCTAGGAAAGTAGTCTTAACCGAGCAAGTAAGCTCAATTTTGCAACATAACACTCTTCCAAAGTTCAAGGACCCCGGTTCACCTACTACTTCATGCATCGTTGGTGATCATATCATTAATCGGGCTCTTCTAGACTTAGGAGCAAGTGTTAACCTTCTTCCATACTCGGTATATGTCAAATTAGGCTTAGGAGACTTGAAACTGACATCGGTGGTTTTGCAACTTGCCGACCGATCCATTAAAAAGCCTAGGGGTATTATTGAGGACGTATTAATTAAGATTGATAAATTTTTCTTCCCCGTTGATTTCGTTGTCATTGATACGGAACCGGTCCCGAATCCTAAGAGCCAAATTCCCGTTATCCTTGGCCGTCCTTTCTTGGCAACCGCGAATGCCAACATTAATTGTAAGACGGGGATAATGAAGATCTCATTTGGTCACATGAAGGTGAAGTTGAATATCTTTAATCCGACCCCCAATTCATTTGACAAGCATGAAGAAATGAATGTTGTAGAGAAATATCATGACCATGAATGAAAAGGACTAGAGTCTTTGTGTGAAACCAAAATTTCAAAAAGTTTATCTTCAACCCTGAATTCCAAGAAAGTTGTTTCAAAATGTTGTTTTGAAAGGGCATGGAAGCCCAAAGATCATTTTGACTAAGGACCAAAATTTTCTTTTGAGCCTAATCCACCAAGTTCTCTAGGGAACCATTTGTTGGGTAGAGTTCAAAGCACTTATCACCCCATCAATGAGGGGATGCACTACAAGATGTTTGATCCGGGTTAAAAGAGCCCAACATCTTGACGTTATAGACTAGTACATGTCATAGGGTGTCACAACCCTATTCCTCCCTCATTTCTTGCGAAGTCTAGATATTTGCTTTAGGTTCATATATATTGTTAGGAACTGTGATTAGGATTGCATGCACTTTCATGTTGAAAATAGACAATTTGCATCAGTTCGATCGATCTCCAAGGAAGTTCGATCGATCGAACTCCATACCTGCATCCAATCAGCTCTCTGTCCAATCGTTCGAAGAAAACCTGTATATTTCAGCTCTCTGTCCCATCGTTTGAACTTGTTCCTAGATCGATCTTTAGTTCTTCGATCGATCCAACTTCATCTTGGATCGATCTGCAGTCTCAATACTTAGAAAAATTTTGAACCTGCATCCACCCTCTACAAAAGGCCTTTCTATCCCATCAATCAAACATATCTGCAGGTTTTTGCATGTTCGATCGATTGGAGTTTTTCTAAGATCGATCTTGGAGAGATCGATCTCTGTTCTTTGATTTACTTTTTTTATTTAAGTTTGACTTTTGTTTTAAATTTTAAATTTTAAAAAAATCCCAAAAATATTTTCTTTTCTTTTCTTTTATTTTATATTTCAAATATTCAAAAAAATATTTTTCATTTTTTTAATTTTTGATTTTTAAAAGTTCAAAAAATAATAATAATAATATATTTTATTTTATATTATTTTTGTTTATTTTTATTTTATTTTGTTTTATTTTTCAAAAATCCAAAAAAAATATTTTGTCATTTTAAAAATTTTATTTTTCAAAAATTCAAAAGCTTCAAAAAATAATTTTGTCTTTTAGTGAGGAGAGATCGATTCAAGTTCAATCAATCTGAGATTTCAGTTCGATCAATCGAACTGGTAAATGAATGTTTTTAAAAATCAAACCTAGGGTTATTAGATCGATACCACAGATCGATCTAACACCCTCTTCTTCGTCCCTCGCCACTACAAACTCACTTCCCCACCTCCGGCGAACCCTCCGACGACTCCAGCTCATCTCGAATCTCTCTCCCTCATCTCAGATCTCAGATTTCATCTCCCTCTCATCTTCTCTCTTGGTTTTGGGTAAGATTCGAGATCCCTCTTTTGATTCAAGCTTTATCTTCATGAATCCATGATTTCCATGTTAGATCTACGATGTTATGATAATGATTATTGCCATTTTTTAAGCTATGTATATATGTGTATATATATGTATATATATCGTTTTATATTTTTGGTTTTAATTTTTGATTTTGGGGGTCACGGGCCAAGGAAAGTGACCATGATTGTTGATTTGTTGTGTAGAGGGGCCCACGAGCTTGCTCGGGAGGCCCCTGTGCCATCCACATCACAGATCTGTGACTTTCGAATTTCACCTCACAGTTCGTTCGATCGAACTTTTTTGTAACAGATCGATCTCACTTATTCAAGATCGATCGAACTTGGATCGATCTCACGTTTTTGTGATCAATCGAACTTCACAGATTTGCATACACACTTCACACACCATCTCTTGTGTTTCATACAATCTCATACATGCCTAATGCCTGTATTTTCCACATTAGATACATTCCATACTTATACTGTCTAGCATGCTTCACATCATATCACTTATTCCTTGTCACTTGCATAAATTCATGTTCCTTATCTGTTTTGTCAATCTTATTTGACATACATGATTCTATAAACTGTGCTTTAATTCTTTATACCGGCACTGACTTCCTTTTTGCAAGTTTTTCTTCTATTTTGTAGGTCATGGCTAGGGTCAAGACTATTGCTCGTAGACATTATCATCACAGAGTTAAGCGGAGATTAGATGACCAGGCAGGTCCATCTCACGTCCATAACCCCATTCCCGAGCCAGAGCCAGAGCAGATACAGGATGAGCCAGCATAGCCTACTCTACCTCAGTCTCCATCCGCTGACAGTAAACTACAGTCTTCGGCTGAGCCATCTTCTTCACAGGCTGATGTTGAGGCTGAGCACATACCATCTCCATCACCACCGCCAGCTCAGCCAGCCCAGGACTTAGACCAGCCATTGCCGAGATACTCACGCATTCAGGTGGCGCATGAGTCGGTCTTCGATATAGACTTCTTCTCCGGGTCTGTTCTTACCAGAGCAGCATATGATAACATAGACCGGAGGGGCATTTAAGCCATATTAGCCCCTGTTACTTATCCAGTGTAACCGAGGTTGGTCTGGATGTTTTTCCAGAACCTCCGACCTGCCCCGAGTAACCTGGTGGAGCTGCGGACTACCATTGATGGCTACCCCATCAGTATTACTGTGGACACTCTATCCAGATAATGTCGATGTCCACATGTCTGCCCTCCCTATCTCCAGACTACATAGCCTACTATGTGGAGGCCTTCTTATACAGACATGGCCGTGGCACTCACAGGTCACTATGCAAAAGGCGAGACTTTCACCACTCGGACTTATCTACCAGACGACCTTTGGTTTTTTAATTCGGTGCTATTCCGAAATGTTTTCATGGCCGGCCACAAGATATAAAGGTGCGGTGACTATCTGACAGCTCTATACACCTTCTATACAGGGCATTGGCTATCCATTCCTGCGCTCATCTAAAGCGTTATGATGAAGTTATATGTTAATCACATCAGCAAGGCCAAGCCCAAATGGGCTAAGTATCTTCCATTCGGCCATCTCATTACACAGATATTGTAGGACCAGCGCTATCCTTTCAAGCCACGGAGCGTACTGAGTCTGGGGCCTTCTTGTTCAAGAAGAAGGACTGGGATAAGAGCTACAAGGCTCTTATCAAAAGTCTACAGCAGGATGCTATAGAGGCAGCTGAAGACCT